CCCGCTCCGGCGCCGCTTCCCGCCGGAACCGGAACCCGGCCTCACGTGACCGGAACTGCCGCCCGGAGCGCCGCTCACGTGACCGGAAACCTCACCCGAAGCGGCGCCCACGTGACCAGAACTCCGGCCGAGGCGTCGCCATGGCAACGGCTGAGGCCTGGTCCCAGAATGGCGCCAAAACCGCCCCAAAATCACCCAAAAACTGCCCAAAACCGCCTAAAATCAGCCAAACTCATCCCAAAACTGCCCAAAACCGCCCAAAATCATCCCAAAACCGCCCCAAAATCACCCAAAAACTGCCCAAAACCGCCCAAAATCAGCCAGAATCATCCCAAATCCGCCCCAAAATCACCCAAAACTGCCCAAAATCAGCCAAAATCAGCCAAAAACTGCCCCAAACCGCCCAAAATCAGCCAAAAATCATCCCAAAATCACCCAAAATCAGCCAAAACTGCCCAAAATCACCCAAAATCATCCCAAAACCGCCCCAAAATCACCCAAAAACTGCCCAAAACTGCCCAAAATCAGCCAAAATCACCCAAAAACTGCGCAAAATCACCCAAAACTGCCCAAACTCACCCAGAAGTACCCCAAATCACCCAAAAGTGCCCCAAATCACCCAAAAGTGCCCCAAATCACCCCAAAAACGGCGCCAAAACCACCCCCGTTTGTATTCCCACCCAAATTTGATTTTTCCTCCGGCAAATTTGATTTTTTCCCCAAAAATTTGATTTTTTCCACCCAAAATTTAATTTTCCCCCCAGATTTTGATTTTTTCCTCCCAAATTTGATTTTTTCCCAAATTTAGTTTCCCCCCAGTTTTATTTTTTTCCCCCCCTAGATTTGACTTCTCTTCCCAGATTTGATTTTCCCCCACAAATTTGATTTTTCTCCCCCACGATTTTGACTTTTCCCCCAAAAATTTAATTTTCCCCCCCAATAAATTTGCTTTTCCGCCCCGGCGACGTTTTTGTTCCGTTTATTTGTGAAGTTAAAAACAAGCGGTAAAAAGTAAAAACTCCGGCGGCGCCTCCAGAACCTTCCGGAAGGGCGGGAACGGGGGGGCGGCCGGGGGGGCGGGACCCCCGGGGGAAATTTGGGGAAATTTGGGGGATTTGGGGGAATTTGGGGGATTTGGGGGGAATTTGGGGACCCCCAGGGGGGATTTGGGGTCACTCACCCTCCCGGGGGT